GGTCACTCTCAATGTACTTGACAGCTGCAAACAAACATAAACAAAGCATCTGTGTTATCTGCTAGCATCTTGAATCTAGTCTGTCTTGTATTATTTCCTGATTCATGTAAAATGTAACAATTGATCCTGTCAGATCTCTCTGAACTTATTTTTAGACTAACATGTTTTGTCCTAAGAATACCCGGTGCATTTCATGCATTTTCATGTTTTTCCCTCTACAGTTTCTTACTGGATGTATAATCCGAGAGCTTGTGGGATGAAAAATGTCATTGCTTCAAGGTAAACTTTCTGCATATGTTATTCATCTTGGCTAATCCATTTCAGTCCCCATACTTGAAAGCTCTGTAAATATCAAACTTGTGAACTATAAGAAAACCTTGACAGACATGTATCTGATAATGCAGAACAATGGGGGAAAATATATACTATAAGTTGCAGTACCATGAGTAAGCACAAAAACAAACTGACAAGATTGAGTGGACCTATCCCATTGCACCCATGATGTTTTTCTCAACCTCTGAGTTTGTTAGACCAACATCAACATCATATTTCAAACTGACTCCCTGTATGTTTCACCTGAGGCTGCTGCCTCCGTCCTCTCCTCCTGCCTGGCATCATCTCCGATCCAAACAAACACCTGCAGGAGGACACTGGATGTTAGGACACACCGATGACAGGAAAGGGAGATTTTACCTCAGCAGTGGCTGGAGACTCACCTGGTCCCAGGTATCCAATATCATGACATCATCAGTAGCGAGGTCATCCTGTGTCAGCTCACCTGGAACCTCCTCCATCTGAACACACAGACACATATATATTTACTTCCTTCCTTCCTCCTTCCAATGAACTTCTAGCAAACACCTTCAATACCAAAACACAAAGTAAACCCAGAGCAACCACTTCATAGATGTGTATACCCAACTCAGCCTAGAATCTCTTAGCAACTTTTGATTTTCATTAGGCACAGGCTAAGTTGTCTCATGATGCTAGCTAGTTCCATAATCATATTCACGTTACTTATGGTTCATCATAATGCATCTGGTATGAAATGGGTATAAGCCAACACTTAACATTTGTACTAAACATGCCCACTTTATTATTAACTGATGGCAGATTAAGAATTGTCTTTATCAACTGAAGCCTTCTTGACTGTTTAAGAAATAAACCCTAACCCTGTTCCCTAAACCACCTCTATTTGGGATTTGGCTCTACCAAAAACCAAGTGATACCTATGCAAACTCTGGAAACATCCTACCAACTACAGTGAATCTGCATCATACTCTTTAATGCTGGCCAATACGTTCTTGACCACTCATCTTTTAATACTTTAAATAGCATTGACATAAATGCAGAAACTGTCATTAGAGTGTTGGACGCTGATACACTGACCAGGAAATTTCCAGTCTTGTTGGAGCACGCAAACAGGCGAGGAGGATGAGCTTCAAAGTTATTCTTGCATGACAACAGTCTTGTTGTACGACAATAGTCTTCCTTCCCCCCCAACGCATCCCAGAATGCATCTGTTAACATAAACACAAAAATACAGACATCAGATCAGGTTCTTTGGAATTCAACAAACATTTTTTCGGTCACCATAGACCAAACAGACCAAACAAAACTGGAGACCAACCCTTTACCTTCCTCATCCCCCTCCTTCAACTGGTTGGGGGTAACTTGCAGAATTCCAGCCAGTTTCTCAGCCCCCTGTGCCTCAACACAGCTGCTGCTCCTCCCTGTCCACATCCAACATCCAGAGGAGGAGACCAGGAGGAATACATCACTGGAGTTAAGACAAGAAGCAGCCGGTTCCACCTGAGGAGAAAAGAGGAACGAATGAGCCAGGGAACAGATTAAATTAATGTAGTAATCAGCCCATATCAGTCTGATAACAACATGATGTACCAGACGTGGTGTATAGGAACTACAATAGGCAAAGAGATCACATTTACTCATACGACTTAAATATCCTGCAGTCTGGTCCTGACACAACTCAGTCTCTGTATGACTCTGGTCTTCAGTCTCACCTCCACAGCTCTGGTGTGGCCTGCAGGATTGGAGCGAACCTGGAAAAGGCGTGTATCTGCCTCCACTGATTGGCCGCCCTCTCTGGAAGTCCCACCTTTGTACACCACCATTGGTTGGCCCCCAAACAGGCTCATGAGGTGGTCAGGCTCTTTTCCCTGACCCACATTCACCTGCAGACAGACAGACTGGTGAGTGCAAAGCATCCCTTCTGAAAGGAAATCAATCCAGTGTCTAGGTGTTTTAAGAAGACTGGGTTCATGTTCCTAGCTAGCTGTACCTGAACAGCACTTCCTCCTAGTTCATCATCCAGCTGGACAGCCAAGATGGCTGATGCTCCAATCTCATCCTGGCTAGACTCTGCCCCCTGCCTGAGAGAGAGAGAAAGAGAAACCCATAGATTTTGCCTTGAAAGTAAGTTCTTCTCTGTCAGTAATAGTTGGGGGAGATGCACCTGTACAGACATACCTTGGAAAAATAAAAATAGACCCAGGTGGGAATCCATGCATACAAGCTCATTATTTATGAATGACTTGTTCAAAAACAACTGACAACGTTCTTTGTAACTACATATAAAATACGTTTTTGACCCCAATGCTCTTTGGAACATGTTGCATTGAACATTTAGCATAGGGAGTCGATATGGCCATGTCTGTGGGACACCTCACTTTATGTAGATAAGAATACCTTGTCTATGGGAAATCTCACCATATGTAGATGATGTGACCCTTTCTGTGGTTGTGATGGTACTCATACAGGATGATGTAACTGTCTCCTCCATAGAACTGTCCAAGGACTGATGAATCAACAGGAACTTTGTCAGATCCTTCAATACGCCAGATCTACAGAGACAGGCAGAAAGAGATACCAACATACAGTACATTTCAAATGAAATTTTAGTGAAAATACATCTTCCCACTTAAATGGACTGTAGTAGTTCAGTGCTATTTGTTCAGATGGGGTTGAGATAGGTTAGACAAACAGAGACCAGTCATTACCTTTTTCTCCCCATCTCCTTGGTCAACCATCCCATACTGTGCCGACATTGCATCTGAATCGTGGAGCTTTGACACATCAAATTGAACCTGTACAGTTAGAAGAGTTAGTTTAAGGAGGCAGAGCAGTTCTCTGAACAGGTCCTTAACTTAATTTTGAACCTGGTTTACCTTCTCTATATTTGCAATCTGATTAGCTACATAGGCCGTTCCCATGCCGACAGTGTCATCAGAGTCCCTCCAGTCTTTAAAGAACTGTTTGAAGAGCGGAGTCTCTCCATGCTCAGGAAGGACCTGAACCTGAGGGGGTGATCATGTTAGGAAGTTAAGATGCTTTGATCTGTCATCTTTAGTCACATATTTTTTCAGGTTTGCACTTCAGTGGATAATTAACTTTGTATCAGTATTGACCAATATGTGTATATGTTTACCTGCGTGTGTGCCGGGTAGTTCATCTTGTGAATGAACTGCTCTGAGCTCTTCAGAACAGCATGACGCTCCTCATTGTTTGCATCCTTTCCTACACACACAGAGATGTACACCACAAACCAAATTAGCAGATAGAGACAGCCTGATCAATATCTTGAATGCAGGTGATCAGCTACTTGTGTGTTTTTTCTCATTAACCAATCAGATTAAAGACTACTTCTCAGAGCTATTTCTAAGAACAGTTTGTTTTTTAATCAGTCTGAGCTGGCCCCAGACCAATCTGTTTGGAATAAGACCAGTGCAACTAGTTAAAGATCAGTCAAATGTGGCTTCAGGCAAGTCTATTTGGATCCAAAACAGCCTAAATTGTTTAAGAATGAGACTAAACTGGTTTCAGACCACTGTTATCATAAACAGAAAAATGTGAACCTTTCCAGACAAAGATTTGTCCATTTGCTCCATTGTCCAGTATGTAACACTCGCAGGACTGCAGTGTAGACTGAGGAAATGGATTTTCCTCTGCTGTCAAGGTAACCTCAATGTCTCCATCTGCATTGGACACCTGGCAACAGGTAGACAGACAGGCACAGACAGACAGACAGACAGACAGACAAACTAATAGTTAAACACTGGGAGACTCTGGGAGTGAAAGTCTTTCCCAAGATACTTTGAACTGGCATCATTACTCCCTTTAATTGGCATGCAACGGACGATAATCAGTAGTGTTGCCAACCGTCCCATATTAGCCAGTATATCCTGTAGCTCCAGCTAAATTGATGTGTCCCTAACGGGATGCTCCTTGTCCTGTATTCAAATCACTTCTATTTAATCACTAGACCACACTGTTCTGATCGTGGATCAGATTATCAGACACAGCCAATAGCCCGTCATGCACATCATGTCCACCATGTGTCACCTGTCATCCAATCACAGCCCCTCGCCCATGCATCAGATATATAGCATCAAAAGCACTGAAATTCATTTTAGTTTATGGATGGTGTTGTTCATTTGCTTTGTGGCAAACAGGCGTGAAAAAATATTGATAAAACAATGGGGAGGAAAGAAGATGTGCAATAAGATGTGCGGGAATTTTCAATAGGAGACGGAGGTCAGCCTAACACAGCATGTTGCTACAGAGACGCACAAGAAGGCCACACAAGCAAAAGGTGCAATGTATATCGATGCATATTTTGTGACAAAAAAAACACATTTAAGCTGTCAAGGCCGTAAGACATATCCATAAAAAATAGAACTTAGATAGTCATGCCTCTCTTTTTGATTAAACCAGTTCTTTTGGACTGTCAGAGGTCAATAAGGGGTCCGAAGTTAAGAATGAATAAAACTTTCAGTTTTAGTAATACTACATATCAAATGAACATTTCTTGCGTATGGACTACATCCACACACCATACCCACACTGCTGTGGCACTGAGTTGCAAATACAATATATTGTCCTTTTTTTTGGCAATGAAAAAAGTGACCAACCGTATAAAACTGTGACAGTTACAGTGTGCAGACTAAATGAAAATATCCAAGTTACCTTGTAAAGTTTTGCCAGTTTCCTGTTAGCAGAATCCATTTTGGTATCATCACTGTGAGCTTCAGGAAGCTCCGGTTTCTCCCCAAGGATCTGAACAAAGAGGTCGGATTTCAACAGGTTGAAAGGCAGAACACACTGCCTGTAATGCTATCCTTTAACCCACTGTCAGTCACCTGATGACCATTTAGCCTTTTTTTTTATCCGTATAAACAAAAATCTGAAGCTAGAAATCTGCAGTGCAACTACAAATCTGCTCTTCAACAGTCTTAGTACTTCTCAAGTTGCTAGTCAAACTATTAACAATGGCAAAGCACAGAAGAGAGTCCTCGCCCAAAAAACAGTTAACTACAATATTTGGCACATAATTAATATTATGTATAATATTAGTTGTGGTATTGCTATAGTATTCCCTCATGTGAAATGCTTAGCTAGTGTCATCACCTCCAGCATCCTTTCTGGCTCCGAACCATCGTCACAAACAATCAGTTTTGCTCTGCCACACCGCTCATCGTCACGGATACCTTTAGACACCTGTCATTCAAACAATTAATTAATTAATCAATTAATAAATCAATTATGTAATGATACAAGTTGATGTCACAGAATACTAATGGTGTGATCAAGTACTGTCAGCACTCACCATTGTGGCCTTCAGTTTTTCAAAGCGGTTGCTATGGGAACCCGACCACTGGATGATTTCCTGTAGGGAGAGAAACAGGTAACAGTACAGCTCTCTCTTCCTGTCTTTCTCTATATTTGCATATATTCTGTCTATATTCTGCCTGCACCACCTCATCTGACTTTTCTCTCTGTTTCACACTGCAGTTCTACCTCTCTCCCTGTCTTTCTTTTAGTATGTCCCCCTGTCTGCCTGTCTTACCATTATGTCTCAAAACTGTCCAACATGACCAGATGTCTCTTTTTGTTTCTCACTCACAGCATGTCTCACATGTCTGCCTGTCTCTTTCTCCCTGTCTCATTATTTACCTGTTTCACCTTCCTGTCTGCAGCACTCACTCACCTCTGACTGACTGTCTCACCATACTGCCCATCCTGCTTGTTTCATCTTTTCACCCATTTTTTCTGCCAGTCTTACCTTTCTGTCTGTCTCTCTCAGCAAGTCTTACCTCCCATTCTCTCTCTCTATTCTGATCTCTTCTATCCATCTCCTATTTCACTGCCTAACCGCTTAAGCCATTCTTTCTGTCGGCTTGCCCCTCCTGATTGTCTTACCTGACCTCTTTAGGTACTATACTCTCCAGCACCATGAATGCAGAAAGAATTCCTTTGGTTTGTGGTTCTCAGGGAAGTCTCTATTGAATAGTTCCTCTTCAAAAATAATTGTTTAGTCCTCAAACACCTACAATGTTCATGGCAGAGTATTGTCTGCCAACTTCCTCTCCTCTAGCTCTCAATCCTGCCCTACATGCCTTTTTGTCTGCGAGTCATACCTCCTCATCTGTTTATCTCTTTTCTGGTCTCACCTTTCCACCTCCTCACTCTTTTACCTGTCTCGTCTCTCTGTCTATCTATTTTGGCCTGTTTCACCCAGTCCACCTGTCCCATCTCTTTCTGCTTCACCCCTTCCCCTGCCTCACCTCTCCCAGGTCCAGTATAAAACTGTCTCCCTTGTTGAAACTGTCCCAGGTCACAGGAACCTCTGTTGCTCTGACGACGCGTCGACCTTTTACTTGCAGCAGCCTCTGAACTTCCACGTCATTGGTCACCACATGGTTGAACCCTGATGCCACGCCCCTTTCTGTGAGAGAGAAGGTGTTGTCCTCAAGGGAAGAATTCACTGAACTTGAATCAAAGTGGTGACTCTTCGTACAGAGAGGGTCTTTCAGTTAACTATGAATAATTTGTGTCTTTTTTTCTTTTGGATCAGTAGCAATGTCAGTACTGCTAATCCTGTTTATAATATCTCATTATGAATTTATGTTTCCAAAAATTTTCAGAAAGTAAAGTTATAGTTCTTATTAAAATAAATATTAACATGATGACACATAAAAGACAAAAACACACAAGAGCACTAATTCAAATACAAGTAAAGAATTATGTGATGCACAAGCAATGAGCTCCTGTTGTTACCATGTACTTGAGTCCTTTCTTGAAGTACCCGGTGAAGGTACTGGACTCATGGCCCTGAACTTCGCGATACTGGATTGGCAACCCATGTAGATAGTCATCCATCTGCACTGTAAAGATGACTGCTGCGCCACTCTCATCCTGTGAGCACTCTGAGCCTGAGAGACCAAACAGAGAACATAACCACGGTTACATCACCATCAGCAAAAGAGGCTGCTACTAACATCTAAAACTACTAAGACTTTAAGTAATAATTTGTTGTCAAGTCAAAGCAACCAATTCAAAGAGTGTATCTGACTGTTGGTGTCCCTCAGGGTTCAACTCTAAGGCCACTTCTGGTTGGGAGGATCAAGACTACATTCATAATGAAATAATACACTAAAAAAAAGAGTGAGCAAAGAATTATTTTCATTAGTCATTATTAATCATGTATTCTTGTATATTTAATACATTATACATTGCAGTAACAGTACATGTATTGTTGTGCCTGGACAGAAGTGCAGGTTTTACTGCAGGTATATTTGTAGTGCTGTATGATGTTTTACAGAAGGTGTCCATGAATTTTGTAGTAATACTGTATAATGCATTGAAGAAATTGTTCATTAAGTTTTGCAGTAACATTGCAAGTACTGCAATACCTTGCCAATAGTGCAGATCGTACTGCATGGCTCCGTTGCGGTTCTTAATAGTATGAAGAACAAGGTAAGCATCTCCGGTGAAAAACCCTCCATGGAGATTCTCAGTAACAGGAACAAGCTCCATTTTCTCCACCCGCCACACCTGAAGTCCCGCCTTCTGACCTGCATGCTCAAACTCTGGGTGGTACACCATGATGTCACTGGAAGGGGGGCAGAGACACAGAACACCTTAATAAATAAAATAAGGCTTTTGTTGTAGACCCTGATGTTTATATTGTGTTATGGTGTGTGATAATACACAAATATTTCACAAAAATTAATGGAGTTTTAATTTCAATAACAATTTTGGCTTCCCACAATCATGATGCCATGGTGTGCTTGTCCATAGGTTTTGTCATGTGTGGAAAAGGTTTCAAAATGTTTGTTGTTATATTTTAGCCACAAGAGTACATCACCACTACCTCAAAAACACATTAAATTATATTTTTTTGAATGTATGTATTTATCATTATTATTGTCATTATCATTGTTCTTATTATTGTCATTGTAAAGATGCGTTAAAAGTGAAACAGGCTTTGAGAGACAGTTTGATAGAGTGAGACAATTATGCTGACAGGGACACAGACAGGCTGACAGAGACATATAGTACAGGCTGACATGAGGATGGACAGGCTGAAAGAGAGACAGACAGGCCTGAAAGAACAACAGTACATCACCACTACCTAAAAGATGCTTTTTTTAAATGTATTGATTTACCAGTCAGAGTCCGGGAGGCAGACACACTCTGTACTTTTAACAATAGACTAATAATAGATAATAATTATAATAATATTACTATTATTCACAAGCTCAGTGAATTGGAACGATACAGAGATGAATATGCCGGTCTGTGGAGGTAGCCAGGCTGGTATGTTCTTCTCTGTATCGTTCCAATTTAACAGTGACCAGCAAAATTTCTTGGATAAAATGCAAATGTTTGTGGGTGGAGCTATCCATGGAAGTTGGCAGACAATACTCATGAACATTGTAGGTGTTTGAGGACTTCTAATTCTAAGGACTTTTTGAAGAGGAACTATTCAATAGGGAGTTCCCTGAGAACCACAAACCAGAGGACTTCTTTCTTTCAGCATTCATGGTGCTGGAGAGTACAGTACCTAAAGTAGGAGCTTAAAAGGTTCCTCTAAAAAGGGTTCTAGGAACTAAAATAGGTCATAGTTCCTGCAGCGCAGAATCAATTTTAAAGGTGTGGTTTCGACCAGTTCCTTTCTATGGAAAAGTTCCAGCAGTCCAAACACGCCTCATGATGTCATATGCAGAGGAAAGAGCTAAACATTTATGTTGGCAGAAAATTGCAGAAACATATCAGTGTTATGTTACTTCAGATTACAATCAAGTTTAGTTTCTTCTCTAAATTGGTTCCATAATATGCAGCTTGAGAAAGAAAATGTCTTTTCTTACTCTGATATATTGGAAGTAGACTATTTTATTTTTTTGTGACAGAATAAATATCTTCTCTTGTGCACAGGGTAATGTCTATCAGTTATAGGACCACAGGGATAAATGGACTGACTAATCTTATTACAAGTACAAAACACATTTGCTGCATCTGAGATAAATAGGAAGTGACTCCCAGTTGCACAGATAGGCAAATAGTTTCAGGCATTTTTTGTGGATTGGAGAATATATAATGATTGATTTACATGACAAATTCACCATTTAACAAGTAAAAACCACAAAAACGAGTTACCATCTTTTAAGTTAAAGTAAAACAAACTAAAGAAACTTGTCTGCGCATTATAGCGATGAATTACAGGATAAGGAAATGAGGAAATAACGTTGTAGGTGTTGTTGTTGACGGTTTACAGGTAGCATTGTTACTGTTTTGATAAGCTGGAGGAGTCAGAGAAATAATGAAGAGGTAAAGCAAAACTCACCGTCAGTGATTGTTTGTTGGAAGCTGCTGGATGGAAAGTGTAGCAGCCGAAAGCTGAGTTCCACCTGAGACGCTGACAATGTAGGGAGGGGCTGTGGGGGAGGTGCTACAGGTAACTTTAACCTGTCAAAAAAGGTCCTCCTCCTCTACCACCAATTTACCAGCTGCCACACCCAGCTAGTAGGAATAGGCTACATAGAAAGCCCGAACCACATTGAAACTCAAGACCAGAGGCCCTGCTCCGGAGCAGCTCATGTTCAGGGGTTAAACCTTGTAGCCAGGTTTGACAAGGTTTTAATTTGGGGTACCAGTCAGAGTCAAATCTGACAAATAAAAATTAAATGCAAACACAAAATATGACATAAACAAGAGCCACAAAACAATCAAACAAAACAGCAATGCGATTTCAAATATATATATTATCAAATCCCACTTTGAAGAAGCTGGAACCAAGGCTAAATAGCATATTGTGAACCAAATTTGCTGCTTAAAAATCCTGTGATGAGTTTTTAGTTGGTAGCCTATAACCTATACTGCGTTCATGAGATAGACTTAAATTGATACGATGTCTCTTTATGACCTTCAAAAGCAAAACGATAAGAGAAAAGTTGAAATAAGCTGCAGGTGAATGGGTGTTATTGAGTAAAGGAGAAGTTTGTTAGCAGAGTCAGTTTGCACAACGATCCTGGCGTGCGTACCCAAAACTAGACCGAAATATATACAGAGGAATAAACACACTGAACAAACTTTGACACACGCTTCACTTGACATACATGCGCACTTCAACTATGAATATGAGCAGCACAGACAAGAAAGCTCAAAAATACACATTAAACAGAATAGATAAAAAAAAAAAAAAAAAAAAAAATAAAATAAAATAAATAATAATAATAAAATAATAATAATATAAAAAAAAAATAAATAAATAAAAAAAAAAAAAAAAAAACAGGGGTACATACAGTACAAAATTAATGATGAAGTTAACTGGGGGAATTGAGAATTGAGACAGTATTTGCAGAGAATTGAGAGCATACATATTTCCCTTTATGTCAACAAAGTAGGCTATTTGTTTGTGTTATTTTCCAAGTTAAACCAAGGGGCAACCTCCGGTCTCGAAAAATGAAGCCTATGCGGAAGTACAAAAAAACTGCAGTTCCTCGAGGTTCCGCTTGAGGCTGGCTGCAGAAGCGCCGGAAGTGCCAAAGCCCACAGCCAAAAAAGCCCGTTTTTACCACAGGAATCAACATGTTTACAGCCTGGTTCAAAAAACGAGATGTATCTGAGAAGTGACGGCCCCTTCTCCTCACACTGGGGGGGTGAATTTTTTTATAACTCATCGGATTTTATTCTATTAAGGAAAACGACTATGCCCATATTTGGTTGTGTCAGATTTGATTGACAGCTCTGCGCGCTGCATCTGTCTGTGAGTCAGCAGGTCAGGAGGCTAACAGCTTGATCCGTCTGATTTCTCCTCTTTCTTACTTCGTTTGGAGAGTTGTTAACACATATCTGACAACATACATGGCTTGCTGTGCGGTTAACAGACCATCCAACAAGTTGATGCTTCAGTTTTTTCGGTAAGTGATATAGTAGTGTATATTTACTGCTTACTCATGTGTTTATATTTACGGACCTAGCTTGTTTAGCGTTAGCTTGTAAACCAGTCGGCTAACTGTGTAGCTCATTATTTACATTATTTACGGTCAATGGTTTAGAAATGTTTGTTGTTAAGATGTTGTTGTTGAAAATAGTGAGTTTGTGTGATGTTAGAAGCTAAAGGTTCATCTCGGTGGTTAACCACAGACTGTAAATAGGTTATCTGACGTTATGATGAATGTTATTACTCCACCTAAATGTCGACATTAAAAACAAACTTTGTGTATAATTATCCGTCATAACATAAACTGAACTGAACCTAATGTGCTGTGTAGGTTATAGAGGATGACATTAAAGTTACATGGTTGATGTAGTGTCTTAAGATTTGAGCAAACTATTAACAAATAAAAAAAACTTCACTTTGTAAGGCATCTGTAACCATTAAGAACTATATTAATAACCATATTAATTTTCACTGAACTCATACACAGAATATAGATGTAGAAATATTAAATAACATATGGAATGAAAATAAGATATAAAGCACATAGATATAAAGTATAAGAAATAGTTGTTGAAGAATACAGCCATTCTGTACTGAGCTCATGTTAATAATAAATGATGTTACTGTATGTTCTGTACTAAAGCACAGAGAGTTGGGACCTGTTAATGATTTAAATAATTCAGGTTATTATTTGTTTCATGTTAAGAATGAAGTACTATCCACAATAAACTGCTTAATTTTTCCTCACAAAATCTGAGACAATTTGATGTGGAATATCATTGTGTGAGTGTGAGAGCTGAAAAAACAGCACGATTACAATAATGTTTATCTTCTCACTTTGAATAGATGTTTGATATCTTAATACTGTACCTTTTGTCTTGGTAGTACACTGTTGAATTTATAAATGTACTCTTACACACAGATGAATACAGAAAAATAGATGAGAACAAAAAAAATGATTTAATGAATAACTGATTTTTTTCTCTCTTTCTTGTCATCCTGAAGACCCTC